TTCAACCCTCATCTTCCACCCTTTGCTAGAACATTTTCTCTGTAATCTTCAGGTCTGCCTACCTCCTTAATTAAATCATGTCCTTCCTGCTCTTTTCTCTTATGAAACCCTTCCTTCACAGTACTTATCACAATGCATGATTATTTATGTATGTGCTCATTTGTTTAATGTCTCTCTCTCCTACAAGGCTCTAAATTTCCTGAGATTAGGGATCACACCTGTCTTGCTCATCATTGTTTATATTGTATAGCCAGTGCCTGGCACTCACAATGACCCTATGGGACAGGACAGAACTGCTCCCAGAGGGTTTCCAAGGCTATAAATCTTTATGAAAGCCGGCTGTCACATCTTTCTCCAATGGAGTGACTGGTGGGCTTGAACCACTGACATTCTGGTCAATAGCCAAGTGCTTTAACCATTGTACTACCAGGACTCCCACCTAGCACATAAACCAAAAAATTAAAACCCACTGCCGTTGAGTCCATTCCAACTCACAGCAACCGGACAGGACGAGTAGAATTATCCCTTAGGGTTTTTGAGACTGTAAATCTTTATAGCAACAGACAACATCTGCCAACCTTTTGGTTAGCAGCCTAATGTTTGAGCACAGTGCCACCAGGGTTTCTTCTCCTGGCACACAGTTGTTGTTAAGTGCCGTCGAGTTGGTCCTGACTCATATAGACACCGTTAAGGTTTCTGAGAGCAGCTGTGGGTTTGAACTACCGACCTTATGCTTACCCATCTAGTACTTATCCTATAGCACCACACACAGGGCACATGATGTTGTTAAGTGTCACTGAGTTGGTTCTGATTCATAACAACCTTGTATAGGGTTTCTGGTGAGTTTGAACTGCCGATCTTGCAGTTCAGTGCTTATCCTACAACACCACACAAGGACTCCAGGGTACATCATTGCTTGAGTGATATGAAAGATGTTCCCCAATGTTTTTTTCATGGTATTATTTATTTTATCTGCAAGACATTCAGTTAGCATCGGGAAAGTTCTACGGTTTTTTCCTTCTTCCTGTCTTTGAAGTTCATTGATTGTTTTAGTAAATATTTTTTAACATCTATTGTGCCCTAGGTATTAAAAAATATTTACTAAAACAATCAATGAACTTCAAACAGAAGTAAAAAAAAGCAGTTAGAACTTCCCGGACGCTAACTGAATGTCTTGGCAAATAAAATATATAATACTATGAAAAACCACTGGGGAACATCTTTCATATCACCCAAGCAACAACACTAAGGTACCCTCCCCTTTCTTAGTCATTTCATTCCACTGCTCTAAGTAGGTTAGGGCTGTTTATCCCTGAACCAACAGAGAACTGTCTTGGGCACTGAGCTATCAGTATCCTGCACTAGGTGGGAGGGGACTAGGACTAGCTGAGAGGTGGGAGGGTTTCCAGTAAGGCCCAACATTATCTTTAAGGGGAATTCCAAGAAAAAGAAAATTTTAACCAGTAACAACACTGCTCGGATTTTCCAATCTCTTCAAAACCCTAAGTAATGCTTTGAAGCTTAAAGGTATATGCATTGGCATCAACTGTTTGTAATTTGTCAATTATAGATCTCTGCATGCACTCTCCCATAAAAACATCTGCCTAGCCCTTATTTCTTTTTCAACAACCCAAATTTCCTTTGGCGACCTATTTCAGCATCTCACTATATCTCACTGCACTACACTTCAAAATGTCTATAACCTTTGTAAATAGCTGAATCCTTTCATATGCTGCCGAATTCCCTCTTGAATCTTCAATAGATGTAAGAAAATGACCCTCATAATTCATACTCTTCTCTTCAGATCTGAAAGACTGCTACAGTATAAGCGTCCATCCAAATCTTTGTTTTAATCTGTCTTTAACAACTATTTCCTTAAATTTTAATGCTGTAAGGAAACAGTAAGACTAGAGAATTGAGGAGACAATCCTACATGTTGGTCACACCTGATTCTGCCTCCCAGATTCTCATCTGTTTTGTGGTCTTGGTACTAACTGACTCCCATTTAACCAAAGGTCAGGTCTTTAACAGATGCATAAATGCAGAATCAATCCATTCCAATTTCCATCAGACCTTTCTATGTATTCACTAAATGCATCCACTTTGGCTTCTGTTTTAAATAAAGGTGTGTGTCATCATTTCAGGTCCACAAATTCTGAGTCAAGATAGAAAGCATATTCTCTTGACTCCAAAGAACTATGACAGACATGGGATTTATCAAGAAAGCAAACAGAAAATAACAAAACAGTTAGCTCTTGGGTTTCAGTTCTGGACCTGTGACAAAAGCTGGTCTCTGTATCAGCAACTCTTTTTTGCTAGAGATTAACACACACATACACACACATGGACCAATAATCGAGCTTTTGTTTCTGATTTTTCATGTCCAACGTGGAGTCAAACCATTAATAGTTAGTTCAAATGACTTTTCTAGCCCAACCAGTTTCTTTCTGTTAAACTTCCGATCTCTGGTGCTACTCTGAGTGAAAACGTACATATGTATTAATTATCCAAATTTCAGGTATCTCAGACATCCAGAAGATATATTCTGGAAGCAGACAGACTTCCTTTAACTGGGTTGACCCAGCATCTGAGAAAGCCTCAGGAAGTGGCAGATGGAGAATTTGCAATTTTGTCTGCTGGTGAAGGAGCAAAGAGATCCTTTGTAGTTATTAAAACCATCAATGAAGCACCATCTTTCTGGAAGCCATACTGTGGTAATCTTACGTGGTATGGTAATCAGCTCACATAATAGACAGGAGTAACCATCTAAGATTACATTGGAAAGAATGAAAAAAATGAAAATGCAGAGATTGAACCCTTCCTGAAAGGGGGAGCTTACAAGGTTTTGTTCCTTACAAGGCAGTTATATAAACTTTTGAATCTATACACAGGTCATTTTAATTCAGGAACCCAGAAACATCTTATAAACACCAATTAAGGCTGACAACACACTCCATTTGTAAATAGGGAAACTAGGGTGTTTAGAGACCAAGCAGCTTGAATCCCAACAATGAGTCAGGACCAAAGTTGGCACCAGACCCAGAAATCTGGAATCCCCATCTCAGGCTGGGAGATGCAATTCATCTTTCCAGGAGATAAAATGTTCACATAAGAAAATAGATTGTTGTTGTTGTTAAGTGCCGTCGAGTCGGTTCCGACCCATAGTGACCAAAGTTAGTATCCACTCAACCTAGGGTGTGATAAAACAAAAAATGATCAATAGCCCCCAGATGAAGTTGAAAGGGAAGCCAACACAAGATTCCATATGTCATTTAACCAGACGGAAAATTAGCATTGCTTCAGTACCTCTTGAACAAAGATACTGCTCACCTTATGGCTTGTAAATTGATGCCAAGAGATACCCCATACATTTCACATTAAAGCTCCCTACTGTTTATCTGATTTGAGTTCAGAAGACTCTTCATCTTTCGCTAGATAAGTGAATGAGGTGTTGCATTTGTAAGTATACATGCTGAAACTGGACCCACCTACAGAACTGAGAGCCTGGTAACTTTAAACCCTGTAGCTTTTCTTGTCGCTCTCTCAAAGGAAAGTTAAAATATTGGTTGTATATACGTGTAGGAATCCTGATGTGGTATTGTAGGATAAGCACTGGACTGCTAATTTTGAGGTCAGTGGTTCAAACTCATCAGTCGCTCCTTGGAAATCCTATACAGATTGCTATGAGTTGGAACTGACTCAATGGTGCTTAACAACACAACTGGCTTGTATAGTTAAGGTCCAGCAAAATGGTCCAATTGAGATCAGCAAGACTTGCTTTCAGTATACTGTTGCTGTTAAGTGTTGTTGAGTCATAGCAATCCTATATAGGGTTTTTGAGAAGTGGCTGGTGGGTTTGAACCTTTGATCTTGCAGTTAGCAGTCCAGTGCTTCTCTTACAGCAGGACACCAAGACTCCTTGATGAGAATAATTATCAAATGTTCCACTGGGTTAAGCATTGCCTTTTCCAAGCACCTGTGGAAGAGAACAAACTGGTAACATGTTGGAGTGAACTGGGTTTTGCACAGCTTTCTGTGACGGGAGCAGATTCACTGACACTGAGCCCTTGACTGGGGGCATACAGGTGAGAAGCCATCTATCAGGAGTGAGAGCAAAAAAAAAGAGCTTGACAAACTCCAAAGAGCAACAATGCCTACTTCCTAGTTTTGCTTGGCCAAGGGCTGACCCTAGCTCCAGCCATCACTGGGAAATACTAATGTGAGGCCCAAGGTAAACAAGGCTAGTATTTTCAGTCTGAAAGGGGGCCCAACTGCTTCTTTGTAACATTCTTTCTGAAGCCATAAATTCTCCTTTCCAACCCTGTTCAGGGTGCCTAGAGGGTATCAGCAGGGCAGCTGCCCCAGAGGCAGTAATGCCTCTACTCTGTCCCTGGAAGCCCAGGGTCAGTGGATCTCATCTGGGCCATCCATTCTCACCTCACGACGCCCAGGCCAGGGAAATATCCAGGGGACTTTCTACATAAACTAAAGTGGATATCACATATGCAAACTGACTGCATAAGAAGGAATTCGATTACATTTTAAATTGATCAAAAATTGATTAAGCGCTTACTGTAGCGCTGTGGGTTAATACGCTGGACTGCAAAGTCGTTTGCTGTGGTTCAAGCTCACCAGCCACTCCTTGGAAACCCTATACAGGGTCGGAACTGACTTGACAGCACTTAACAACAACAATATGCCAGGGGCTGAGGAGTGTCCAGCAGATTTAAAAGCACCCCAAGTGCCGCACGCTCCTACTTTCACAAGGCGCTCAAATACAGAGGAAGGATGGGGCTAACAGCCGAATGAGAAGCTGAAACCAGATACTAGTCGAGGATCCCTCTCCAAGGGTTTTTCTTGGTCTGTCTCCCTGAAACTCAACAGCGTTGTGACTCCCGTGCGCTCTCTAAAAAGGGTCCCAGCGCCTAGATCACACGTTTCTCCTCCACAATAGTCTACTGTCCCTCCATTCCCTCTCCCCTCCCCCAGTCGGCACTCACTGGGTCTTCCTGCGGCCCTGGTCCCGGTGTAGCTCCCGCAGGTCCACCTCTGCGCGACCCAGAAACTTGTCAAGGCCGAGCAGCGCGCGATGCAGCACGGTGAGCTGCAGGGTGGCGGCGGACGCGGGTGCGGCCCCGGCGGACAGCAGCGGTGGCAGTTCGAAGGTGGCTTCCTCTCGCCACACTGGCGCGCCCAGGCTGCGTTCGGATACCGAGGTGGCGTACTTCTCCTTGCCCACCTGGATCACCGCATACGCGTCGCTCGTGCCCCCAGGGCCCTTGGACCTCAGACCCCGTGCCTGCAATACCGTCACCTGCACGTGGGTCGGGGACCACAAGGTCCCCGGGCCCCGGCCCGCCGAGGCCGCCAGGGACATGGTGACGGCGGCACGGACCGTTCAAATGCGAAGAACAGATCAACTCAGCCAGCAACCTAAACGCCCCGCCCAGTCGCCCAGGCCACTTTAAGGCTTCCGGCCACGCCCCCGTCAGGGCCCGCCTCTCCCGGTCACACCCCCGCACCCCCAGCTCGCCCCACCTGCTCGCACCCCAGCCCCGCCTTCACCGCGCTCAGCTCCCGATGCATCCGGGGCGCCCTGGGCGGGGCTGGCGCAGCTGGGGCCAGGGTGAGGCTGGGAAGGGAAAGCGGCCGGAGATTCGAGAATTTGTGTCTGAGAGATGGTAGATGAGCGCCAGGGTCACAAGCTGTTGTTGTTAAGTGCCGTCGAAGTGGTTCCGATTCATAATGTATAGGGTTTCCGAGGAGCGGCTACTGGTTTTGAACCTCCGATCTTCCAGTTCAAACCGACCTTGCAGTCCAGTGCTTATCCTATAGCGCCACACCGGGACTTCATAAGAGTCAGACCTAATTTCCAATGTTTACATCACTATTTGGTAGGTGTGACCAGGCGCAGAGTAATATCTTTAGGTCTCAGTTTCTTCATCTGTAAAATAAGGTAACAATCGCCTCGTTGAACTGTTGTTTAAAAAGAACAAACGGATTGCAGTTCTTAGCACAGTGCATGTTGTTGTTAAGTGCCGGACTCATAGCAACCCTGTATAGGGTTTCGGAGGAGGAGCCAGCTGGTGAGTTTGCTTTACAGTCTGGCGCATTAACCTACAGCGCCACACCAGCACAGTGCATAGCACAAGGTAAATTCTCTATACATTCACCACTCTTTTAGAGGCAAGTGCCAGGTGGATGGGGAAGGGAGATCATTTGAGGATCTGCAAAGAGGAAAGAAAAGGCACTCTTTCTCCCACAATGTGGTCGGTATGGGAATGTCTTATTTTGCCCTGCCTCATCAAAATAAAACCAACCAAACCCACTGCCATCAGTTGATACTAATTCATAGTTACCCTATATAGGGTTTCCCAGTCTGTAAATCTTTTCAGAAGTAGACAGACTCATCTTTCTTCCTTGAGAGCAGCTAGTGAGTTTGAACCTCAGATCTTGCAGTTAGCAGACCAAAGCCTAATCAACAGCACCAAATAAGGTGAAACTAAATCCGGCAAAGGAAAGAAAGGAGGAACTGAAATAGGATTGCCAAAGCTATCATCAGACCAGAGGTTCTTCCCTAGGTTCCCCATTTCTCCCTGACTGGGGCCCTCTTCGGTTTCTCCCTCCTCTTTATATCTTGACTCCAGGTCAGTCCCGTTTTGTTCTACCATCTGTTAGATTCACCTCTTTCCTCTTTTCCCAATGCTCTGATTTAAAGGCCTGTCTATTGTCAGATTGGGAAGGTCTCTTAGAAAGTTTTTAGATTTTACACTTATGTAAGGCCTAGACCAGAGAAGTGAATTGTTCATGTTTTCAGTGGTTCAGGGTCAGGACTAGAACTCAGAACTGGCTCCCAACAGTGTTTTTACTACTTCCCTTGCTTCTTTTGCATTCTCAGAACCTCAAACTTGCTTTGCTACTGTTAGACTTAACCTAGCTTTCAAAACATTCCTATTTTAGCCCCACCCTAACTTGTTCCCCTCTATCTTCTGAGCAAACAAACCTGTAGCCCAGGTTATCTTCCCACCTCCAGGCCTTTACTAACTTTGTTGTCCCTTTGGCTGTCCTTGCTAAGTCCTACTCATTTCAGGTCTTTATTCAGAGTTCTCCAAGACTTGTACTTCCTGTAGCCCCTTTAAGGTAAGGCACCAGAGAGTGACTTATTTATAAGACCATAACAGAAACCTGAGTACACAGATACTTAAGAAATACTGTTGAATTGAAGAGTTTGCAGAATATTCTAGAAAGTCATGAGTACATGCTGAAGTTCTGGTGTGGCGTGGCAGGATAATACACTGGGCAGCAACGCCAATCTGAACCGCAAGGTTAGCAGTTGAAACTCACCAGCCACTCCTCAGAAACCCTTTACAGGGTCACTATGAGTTGGAACTGACTCGACAGCACTTAACAATGAGTATACTCATATAATGTTTCCTTTAACCAGGTAAAACATTAGAGGACAGAAAGTATGCCTCAAGTTAACAACAACCAAGGATGATCACTACTGTATGGAACAGGCCCACTTGGTACATTGTAAATAATCAATGGTGATAAGGAGGAAGAGGAGCCCTAGTAGGAAAATGGATTAAGTGTTAGGCTGCTAACCACAAGATCGACTGTTCAAATCTACTAGTCATTCCTTGAGAGGAAGATGTCTGCTCCTGTAAAGATTTCTTCTCAGAAACCATAAGGAGCAGTTCGTTCTACTCTGTCCTGTACGTTCACTATCAGTCAGAATCGACTCAAAGGGCAGAGAGAGAGGAAGAGACATTGGAAATGCTGTTGTTGTTGTTAACGTCTGTGGAGTTGATTCTGACTCAGAGCGACCCTGTATAGGGTTTCCAAGAAGCAGCTGGTGGGTTTGAACTGCCAACCTTGTGGCTCAAACTGACTTATGGTCCAGCACATTGTTCTGCAGTGCCACACCAATATAGGAGGTAGGAAAATCTAACAGAACTCTGTCGTTTTGATACCGTTTCCCTTTCTTTAAGTTTCATTAACTTCATTCAACCTCATGGCTCAATTTGGTTCCACAAAGATTTATTGAGAAGTTACTCATGTGCTCGGCATGAGCTGCTATTCATAAAAATTTTCGGTGGCTAATCGGACCCGACTCCACGGCACTTAACAACAACAACAACAACAATCCCTCAGAAGGAGTCCTGGTGTGGCGCTATGGGTTAATGCACTGGACCTCAAGGTCAGTTTGAACTGTAAGGTCTGTGGTTCAAGCTCACCAGCCATCCCCAGAAACCCTACACAGGGTCAACAAGAGTGGGAACTGACTCCACGACACTTAACAATAACAATCCCTCAAAAGTGGACCACCTTTTCATTCTTTCTTCAGTATTGGAGGAAAGCACATTAACAACCTACCATATGCAGATGATGCAATGTTTGCTGAAAGCAAAGAGGACTTGCAGCACTTACTGATGAAAATCAAAGACTATGCCCTTCAGTGTGGATTATAACTCACCTTAATGCAAAGAAAACAAAAATTCTCACAACTAGACCAATAAACAACATCATGCTAAACAGAAAAAGACTGAAGCTGTCAAGGACTTCATTTTACTTGAATCCACAAATCAATGCTCATAGAAACAGCAGTCAAATCAAGCAACATATAGCATTGGACAAATCTGCTGCAAATGACCTCTTTAAAGTGTTGTAAAGTCAATTTGAGGACTAGGGTGCCTCGGACCCTAGCCATATTTTCAATTACTTCAAATATATGTGAAAACTGGACAATGAATAAGGAAGACCCAGAGAAGAATTTGAATTATGGTGTTGGTGAACAATACTGAAGTACCATGGACTGGCTGCTAGAAGAACGAACAAACTTGTCTTGGAACAAGTACTGCAGATGTCGCTTAGAAGCAATCATCATTTCATATCCTTTGGACATGTTATCAAGAAGGACAAGTCCTTGAAAAAGGACATCATGCTTGGTTAAATAGAAGGTCAGAGATAAAAAGGAAGACTCCTAACAAGATGGACTGACACAGTGGCTGCAACAATGGGCTCAAACATGGCAACAATTGTGAGGATAGCACAGGACCAAGCACTGTTCTGTTCTGTTGTACATAGAGTCACTATGAATTGGAACAACAACAGGCAGGTGCTGGAGGGCACAAAGCTAACTGAAATCCAGTTCTAAGGCACTTTATGCTAAATACTACAAAAGAAGTCCTGTGTAAATAAAATGCTTTGGGTGTTTTGAGGAGATCGCAATTTCTCTTCACTGGGTAGATTTTTATGAAGTGAGTGGCATTAAGCTGGGCTATAAATATATGAGAAGATTTATTGCCTATGTGGTATATACATACAATGGGATATTATTTAGACATAAAGAGAAATCAAGTTCTGACACATGCTATGACGTGGAAGAACATTGAAAACATACATCATGCTGAATAAAATAAGTTGGACACGAAAGGACAAATATTGTATGATCCCACTTACATAAAATTTCTAGAATAGGCAAATACATAAAGACCAAAGTTAATAGTTTCCAGGAGTGGGTGGGAAAAGAAAAGGGGGAGGTATGCCTAAAGGGGCACTGAGTTTCAGTTAAGAGTGATGGAAAAGTTTGGAAGCAGATAGTGGTGATAGGTACACAACTGCATGGTGAGTATAATTAATATCACTGAATTGTATATGTAAAAATTATTGAGATGGCAAATGTTTGCTTTATATATGCATACATATATAAGTTAGAAAAAAAAAAAAGATTTAACAGAAAAGGGATGATGTTAAGTGCTTTCAAGTCAGTTCTGACTCATAGTGACCCTGTACAGGGTTTCCAAGGAACAGCTGGTGAATTTGAACCACACTGACCTTGTGGTTTAAACTAAACTTGTGGTCCAGTGCTTTATTAACAGTGCCACACCGGGACTCTGAAAAGGGATGATAGAGGAAAAGCATGTCAAGGGAAGAAAACAGAATAGACTAAGCAAAGTCATGGAAGCCAGAGAGTTCATGGCATGCATAGGGGTTCAACCCACTGCATTCACAGCATAAATCTTCACAGGAGTTTGATCCATTTAACCCACTACCCCATCGGGAGTGCTTAACTGTAGCTGGAATGTAGGTTATGTTAGGAGGATATTGGGTTGCGGAAATAAGACATACAAGGTATGTGGGTCCAGATCATGACCACCAGGCTAAGGAGTTTATATCATAGTGTTATGCCAGCATGAACCAGCCTTCAGAAGATTTAGAGCAGTGATGTAATCAGCTGTACAACAGGTTGTAAGGCAGAAGTAATACAGTGGTCAATAGCATGGCGGGTCACAGCCAGCCAGATACCTTCATTAATATCACCTGGGACTGTCAGCCTTAACCTACCCCACCTCTTACCCATCCTTGATGTCTAAGCTGATACTAACATTAAATAAGGCGTACATTTTTGTTATTGATTGAATTATATTTTCCCAAAATAAGTGCTGGAATCCTAACTCCTATGCCTGTGAATGTTATTCGTGTCTGGAAATAAGGTTTTCTGTTATCTTATTGAGATCCTATTGCTGTTGTTGTTAAGTGCCATTGAATCAGTTCTGACTCATAGTGACACAAATAAGATTTCCTGGGAGCAGCTGGTGGGTTTGAACTGCCAACCTTGTGGTTCGCAGT